CACCTTTTGAAAAATGAAGGCCTTGAACTGGTTGGTCTGGAAAGTTCCTTCTACCCCGACCCTTTGTTGCAACCAGTGCAAATGTCCAGATACTCTTCCTTCCTGAGCCCAAACATGGGCTGGGCCAGAAGTCTAGTGGACAGCCGGGATTGCAGCCTCTCCCTTCTCCTGGCGGACCTCTCCACTCCATTCCCCCCTCCACTCATTGGTGACACTGTGGAACACTCACACGTGTGAGGCCCTCATAGTCACAGCTGGCCGCAGGCCAGTCTAATGAAAGTCACTTAGCAAATTCATTCATGAACAGCCTTTTAAAATTCTTTCCGGAGAGCTGTTTCCATAAAAGTCATTAGTATCCATGAGTCATGAAGATGTTCGAAGTTTTCCTGTGTTGCATCTTAGAGCTAAAACCCAGCTCCCCCCACATTTACCTCGTCAGTACTCTTCTAAGCAGACCCTCAGCCCTTCAGTTTGCTAACTGGGTTTCTCTGTCTGATTTGTGCACACCGGGAGTAATATATTAATACTAGGGCTTGGGTCGTTTTTTAGAGTTTGAAGGTAAAACTTGTTGGCATTGGTTGTGCCCAAGATTTCTGGGTGTCCTCCTTCATACACCAGTGAGAACCAGCTAGCCAGCCCCTGTTGGAATTGCTAAGTCAGCTTCTGATTTTGGGGTCATGTGTCCCATTATGACACTGGGAAGCAATCTCGGAGTTAACCCTCCCCAGTTAGATGTGTGTGTAAACTCACGGATGCCTCCTGTCTTTCCATGACCTAGCCTGGTGCCGACACCCTCTCTTTTGCCGGGTCTTCCCTGGGAAAACTTTGACAAATCATTCTCTCTTCCCTACGGTCCCACAGCACTTTACACCTCTGTTGCTGTCAGAATCTCTCTTGTATCGAACGTGTCTATTCTCCCGACTGAATTGGAACCCCTAATATTGGGGTGGGCCCCTCCCCTCCAGAGATTAGTCTCCAGGAGGTTCCTGGAGCAAGGGTACGATAGAATGCTCCCTCCCCTTGTGTGTACACCAGCCTGGTCCTTCCTTGTGAAGGACCAGGTTTTAGAAAATGTTTGATGAAATGCCTTACGAAGAGGCCATGAGCTCTGGGATTATTTAGGAATCTCCAAAAGGTTGGTTCCTCAGGTTTATTAGTAGTAAAACGGGCTGGGAGCAGCCAGAAAGAAGTTGAATTGAGATTCAGGGTGCCTGGGTGGCTCAGTTGCTGGGTGTCTGCCTTCAGCTTGGGTCATGATCCCGGGGTCCTGGGATTGGGCCCCTCGTCGGGCTCCCTGCTCAGCGGGAGGCCTGCTTCCCCCTCCCACTTCCCCTGCTTGTGTTCCCTCTCCTGCTCTCTCTCTCTCTCTGTCAAATAAATAAATAAAATCTTAAAAAAAAGAAAAGAAAAGAAAAAGAAGTTGAGGGAGATTCGACCAGTCTATGCTAGTTGCTGTAGTCACTTCGGTCAGGTTTGTAGAATAGTTCAGCTGTAGAGAGGGGAAGATGTATTATCGTTTAGGTTTAGATTTGGCTGAATTTAACAGAAAACTGGCTTAAACGTGAGCCTTTATTTTTTCTGTCATTTAGAAATTCCTGAGGTAGACAATCCTAACTTACTTTTCCTCTATCCTTAGGAGGGTTGCCTCATGACCCAAAATGGCTGTTGAAGCACCAGCCATTGTGTTAATATCACAAATGGAAATACAAAGCAGTCCTCTTGGAAGGCTCACTCAATGTCCATTTATATCTCATTAGCTGGAAGTTAGAAGGGCACTAGCTATCTTCACAGCTGGGAAGTAGGGATTTTAGCTGGCACATTGCCTCACCCTGGGACATACAGGCTCTCTTCCCAGGAAAGATGAAGTAAAGAGCCCCCCAATACTTACTTGAATGAATGAGTAGGTGGGCAAGTGATGGAGAGATGCCATCCGGTTTCTGTGGGTCAAAGGTTGACCGAAGCCTCATATTAGATCTTTGATATGACAAGGCAGGGACGTTTCTGATACTACCGTACAGGAGCGAAGGAGCCTCGTGGAAAATTCAGACACTCAACAGACCTGACAGAGAGCATGTTCTTCTAAAGGCCCCTTCAGATGGGACTCCTTTACCCCCGTCTCTTTTTTTTTTTTTTTTTTAAAGATTTTATTTATTTATTTGAGAGAGAGAATGAGAGACAGCACAAGAGGGAAGAGGGTCAGAGGGAGAAGCAGACTCCCTGCCGAGCAGGGAGCCCGATGCGGGACTCGATCCCGGGACTCCAGGATCATGACCTGAGCCGAAGGCAGTCGCTTAACCAACTGAGCCACCCAGGCGCCCTACCCCCGTCTTTGTAGAGATCTCTGGCTCCCTTATATGAACTCATCAGACAGAGATAGCAGGCGAAGAGGTGCTGGGTCTGTGGTAGAGCAACCATATCTCAGCTCTTTCTTTCGTTTGAAGAAAGAAAAGCTTCCTAATTCAAGCGGGGAGACCTGGGGGTAGAGAGTTTACCCTTAAATGTTGCTGAATTGAAATACTAAGATTTTTCTAAAAAACACAAATACAGGGGCGCCTGGGTGGCTCAGTTGGTTAGGCGACTGCCTTCAGCTTGGGTCATGATCCTGGAGTCCCGGGATCGAGTCCCACGTCGGGCTCCCTGCTCGGCGGGGAGTCTGCTTCTCCCTCTGACCCTCCTCCCTCTCACGCTGTCTCTCATTCTCTCTCTCTCAAATAAATAAATAAAATCTTTAAGAAAAAAAACAAAACAAAAAAAACCCCACAAATACACATCCCACCTTGGGAAATGTTAGAATCCTGTGGGATTAATTGTTTATTGTCTTCTGGTGTCGGTTCGAAGCTGGTAGGTGGTCTGTGGGGCAGGTGGGGGGGGCAGCTTAGAAGCGACAGGTGTCCGTGCTGCCCCACTTGCCCGGGGAGTGCAGCTAGGCAGGCGGAGGGCGCCACCCGGGCTGTTCTCTTACGGGACATCCACAGGCTGGCCTGGAGGCCCGGGGGCTGGAGCGGCGTGTCGTGCTGTCTTGTTACTGTGCGGTGGGTTGGCAGTTCTGCAGGGCCGGGCCCCGTGTCGCGGAGACGCACTTGCATGGCCATGTGGCCCGGGGCCACAGAGCAGTCCGCTGCAGGCAGGCCCTTGGGCTGCTGGTTGAAGCATTAGCCTGGTGTCATTCAGCTCCCACTCTTGATTCCTTTCGAAACTTTTTTTTTTTTGATGGCAATATGCATATTTTTATTTTTTATTTTATTCTATTTTTATTTTTAATTCTAGTGTAGTTAACCTACAGTGTTATTTTAGTTTCAGGTGTACAATATAAAGATTCAACAATTCCATGCATTACTCAGTCTTCATCGTCTATCTTTTGAAACTTTGATCCCCGTCTTTGTCAAGGGCTCCCGCAGATACTGCGGTTTGCGAGGCTGCTTCCTCCTGGCCCCCCACTAGCCCTGCATTTTTCAGGTCATCTTGTCCTTCAGTCCTCCGTTCCGGATCATCCTCTTTTCAGAAGTAGCCCTGGATTCCCTCTCCTGGAAATAATTTGTCCTGCACACCCTCCTACTGTCCGTATCTCCCTCCCTCTTACGGCACTCTGGGGCACAGCTCTGTGGGACAGACTTTGGATGTCCTCTCCATGCCTGTGTCTGTTCCCTGAGCAGATCATCCTCCCCGAGGGTAGGACACAGCATGTGTCTGCTGTTCAGAGTGGCACCCCTGCTGTTCCTCGCCTTGGGGGCTGGTGTGTTCCGAGTCTGTGAGTCTGTTTCAGTCCCCTTCACCGTCTTTGTCTTGTGGTTCTCCAGGACTTCCTGTAAGTCATGTGAGACTCACTTGGGCTGGATGGGGCCCCTGTTGTTCCCCTCTCTCCTGAGTCCCGGGGGCTACCCCGTGGATGTCCCCGGGGCTTGTGTAACTGCTCTGGTTGACCGAGGGTGGGTGGGTGGGACACTGCAGCGGGCCGGCGCTGTGCTCCGCTGGGAAGTTCAGAGTTGGGGCCGGAGGGTTTTGTTGCGGATTCCTGATGCACTCTCATGGGCCACTCTTGGGGGAGATGTGTTTACTGTCCAAAAGAAGTAGAATGTGAGCCAGCTATGTCATTTTAAATTTTCTGGTAGTTACAGTTTAAAAAAAAAAACACAGGTGAAATTCATTTTAATAAGATGGGTCTCTTTAACCAAGTACATCCAAAATCCTATTATTTCCTCATGTAACGTTATGAAAATTGAGATTGTTAACAATTCTACTAAGTCTTTAAAATCTGGGGTGCTCTACGCTCAGTGGATTAAGGACATTTCCGGTGCTTGCTAGCCACTCGTGACTGGTGGCGGTCTAACGTATGGTCTGCTTTGATTTCTGTGCCTTCTCCCACTTGACGTTCCTCGAAAGCGGGGGCGGTGTCGTGACTGTTCACTCCTTCCCCATCGCCGTTGGTGAGTGTGGATTGGGCGACGGCCTGGCTGGCAGAGTGACAGCGCGCTTAGTGGGACTTGCAGCACCTGGTATCCGGTCACAGCTCGGCTTCCCGCCAGCTCTGTGTGGCCTGGCTGAGTCCCTCGGGGCCACCTGTAGAACACAGTCGTTGGACTGATCTCCGGGGGCCCTTCTGGTTCTGACATGTTTGCACTGAGCCATGGATCCAGGCAGGGACGGCACTGGGGACCGCTGTATCTGTCCACCGTGGCCTCATTAGCAAATGAGAGCTCTGTGAAAGGCCACGGGTGGTCATACCTGTGGCTTGCCATCTCCAGCTCTGACCGAGAGCTGGTATATTTATCTGGGCTCTTGGGTCCTGGACTATGAAAATCATCTACTCGCCTACCTGGCGCGTGTCCCCTTGTCCAGCATTTACAAGGCCCTGCAGGTACCAGGCCTGTTCCCACTTGGAAAGGCGGAGATGGAATAGGCAGTTCCCAGCCCTCAGGAAGCTCATCTTTTGGAGGGTGTGATGGGCCCAGAGGGGGCCCCTGTCATTTCCTGAGGCCTCACCAGGGTTCTTTCTTGCACAGGCTCAGCTGGAAGCTCAGAAAGCCACGCAGGACTTCCAGAGGGCCACGGAGGTGCTCCGTGCAGCCAAGGAAACCATCTCCCTGGCTGAGCAGCGGCTGCTGGAGGATGACAAACGGCAGTTCGACTCAGCCTGGCAGGAGATGCTGAATCACGCCACCCAGAGGGTATGAGTCACTGCCGGGCGGGCCGGGGGTGGGGGGTGTGCCTGGGTCTCGAGCATGTGTCCGTGTGTGTGGGCATCGACATAGGGGGCCTCCCCCTTGTGGGTGGGGTGTGGGAGCATCCTTCACACTTCCCCTTGTCTGTGTGATCCAGACTACCCTCCTGGTCCTGATGAGCTCTGGGTGCGGTCCCCAAGCAGAGGAGACAGACTCCCAGGCTTGTTGCCTAGAAACGCTCGCTGAATGTCACAGGTTGCCTCTCCATGCGGTCTCTGCTGGCCTGGTACTAAGCCATTCTCAGAGTGACAGTCCCCCCGTCATGGGTATAGCTGTTTCTTCCCTGTGTCATTTGAGGTTTGTCTGGTTCAGATCATCCCTGAAGGTCTTGACTGTGGATTGGGCTTCACAGAGGGACCAGGTTATTTTCCAGGGCCTGTTCCCACTGAGTTCCAGGCGGAATGGCTGAGTATAGAATCCCAGATGGAAGACCTTGATTAACAGCCCCAAACCACGTGGGGCCTGGACTCAGGGTATGTGTGCTGTTAGCGGGACGGTAGGGGCCATGATAGATGAGACCAGAATCCAGTGGGCACTCAAGTCTGGCCTTCGGGCTGGGCCAGGCTGGGCCGGGCTGGGCTGGGATTCAAGCAGCCAGCATGGGAACGGGAAGTGGGCTGTGTATGATCTTTACCCCGATTTGACTCCTAGGTTTTGTGCCATTATCATTTGGCTTTTTACCAGCTCCCATGACCTGCTCTCTGACCACATTGCTCGGAATCAAGACAGCTGCTTGGCTCAGCTGGAGTTGTTACCTCTACCTAACTCCACTGGGTTCTAGGAGTCACACAGAATATTCTTGATACCTATCCCCTTCTCCGGGCTGATTTGCTGCAGGGTGATTGGGAGAGCTGACACGTGGCTTCGGCAGCTCCCACGAAGGCCTTAGATGGAGGGGTTGCAACCCCCCAGGTCTTGCCATCTGTGGGGCTAGAATAGAAAAGTCAGGAGTTAATGCCAGCAGCCTCTCCCTTTTCAGTGTCCCCTGCCACAGTGGCTCAAGTCCTAGGGGATCTGATAATTAAAGATGGCCTTGCGCTTCCCTAAATAGAAAGCCTGACACACAAATGACTGAAGTCAAATCTTTGTACCATCTTCCCCTGAAGCCTGAGATACCTGGCCTGGCTCTGTGTGGCTTTGGGCCTCCTGCCCCCTAGTGGACGTGATGCTCAGTCAAACATGGGCTGGAATAGCTTTTCTGGGTCAGCCGGTGAAAAACCAAAGTAGAAGTTGGAAATTTACAAGCCACAGTTTGACAGATGTGGAAATGAACCCCCCCCTCCAAAAAAGTACATCCTTCCAAGAAATTGAAGTCCTGCTCTTCCTTTTTGTCCTCCTTCCACCCCAACTGGAGATCTAAATCAGCCTTAAGAAATCATTTCAGGAACGCCTGGGTGACTCAGTCGTTAAGCGTCTGCCTTCGGCTCAGGTCATGATCCCAGGGTCCCGGGATCGAGCCCCGCATCGGGCTCCCTGCTCAGCGGGAAGCCTGCTTCTC